GAAACAACAAAAGATGTGAACCCTATGTTTGTTTTGTATTGAAAGCTTCTTTGCTGAACCCAGGGCTATCTAGCTTAGGAGGAAGTTGCATTTTAAGAGTCCATTCTCAAGACTGATAATGTCGATGATTTCCTGGGTGATACTATGGTTTTAAAATCTTACCACTGGTGGAACATGGGCAAAGCGTAAAAGGGAACTCGTATTTCTTACAGCTGCATGTGAATGATGCAATTACCTCAACTAAAAACTATTTTTTAAGCCACTAATCAGAGATACAAAAACAAATTCTCAAGACATAAAAAGGCAGTTGGCTCTAAGATCAGCGCACAGTAGCTTTATTCTTTTAATCTATAATCTCCTTGGTACGAAATGCAGTGAGGCCCTTGGCGTTGTTCATATGAACCGCAGCAGTAGCTTCCTGCCCAGTCTCCCGACCCATCCTTCTCTAATCATAGAACTGGTTCTTATCTTCCCTTAGCATAAAATCCTCCAAGGACTTCCCAGGGACAAAGTCCGAGCTGTTTCTCAGTCACCGGCACTGGCTCCTGCCTGTACGTCCACCTCTGATGCCTGCGACAGGCCTGCCCACACTCATCTTGGTCCCTGGCTCCCGAGTGCCCTTCGCTGCTGTCCACCGGGCAAAGGCCCACTTGCTCTGCACTTTTATGGCACCAGCCATGTCTTCTCCAAGGCTTCTCTGCCTCTGCGCCCTTATCAGAGCAGGTCCTCGTCCTTCTCTTCACGGCCTGCTGGTCCTTGTTCTTGTGCAGCGATGACCTAGCAGGCTTGGGCCTCACAGCGTCATGACCCTAGAAGGCCCCAGGTCTACTCTGTCACCTCTGACACCCTCAGCACCCTACAGGCAGCACCTGGTGCCTGGGCATCACCCATGAGCCTGCATAGAGCCTGACTCCAGGGAGCTTTCGTGGCCCAAGGAACCTAAGTAGCGAGGGGTGAAATGTGCCTGTGGTAGAAATCAGTACTCAGAGAAAAAAGAAAGAATAGATTTTCTTTCCTAAAAGCTCCGAGTTATAAAACAATTCTATCTGCCCCCACAAAATAAAGATAAGTTATGGCAAACCACAAGAGAAAGTAAGCCAAGGAAAAGCAACACTTTGCTGTTGTACTCATCCAATGGCACTGCACAACAGCAGGAACGGAACTGTGGACAGGGGAAGGTGAGCCAGATGCAGGTGTGTGAACACAGTGCATCTACAGACAATGTGAAGAGGGGGCAAGGAAAAGGGTGAGGGAAGAGAGCGAGGCGCCAGCGTGATCCTCAGGAGATTCTGGAGTAACCGGGAGGAGCTTCTGGGGGGACACACAGGACTCTGAGGTAGCAAGGTGATTTCACTATCTCTTTGGTCTGTTTACTACAGAATATTACGCCTTCATTTTTTAAAAGCCAGCACTCTGTGGCACTTGGGCCCCACAGGTGGCCATGTGTAGATGCTCCCCAGAGTCAGCCTGGGTGTTAGGCCAACTCAAGACGAAAGAAGTGATTCCAGCAGCAGCCTCTGTCTCGGCAAGTGACAGGAGAGTCCAGTGGAGCTCTGCCAATCCACAGAGCTCCGGGAGAAACTGATAAATGCTTAGACCAAAGGCAAAGCAAAAACCTAGGCACAGCTTCTGTTTAGAGCACATATGTTTATTTCTGATTCATCCTGGTGTACCACTCAAATAGCACTGAAAGAAGTTAAGGTGAAAACCCACAAGAACAAAGAGAACCAAAAGGTCAAGGAGAACTGAAGAATACTGTCTGCAAAGTCAGGAAGCTGGAAGACACAGAATTTGGAGCCGCTTGAGGTGTTTCCTAGAGAAAACGAACAAAGACAAGGAGAGGGCGAAGGTGAGGCCCATGCTTCCAAGCTGGGCTCTAAGTGAATGTCCAACGGCAGGTGAGAAGCTGCGACCAAAGTGAGCGATTCTGACCACGGCTGACAGATAGTCTTAGAAACAGAGGGACAGAGCCATTCTCCTTCTATGCATGTCTTGCAAGAAACTATTCAAGACTGGAAGACACTGGAGGACACCTGGAAGACACGGGACGGAAGCACAGACCCACTGCAGGCAGCTGGCAGAGGGCCCACAGCAGCCGGTGCATGGGGACAGGAACACAGAGGTCCTGGGACAGAGGCACCAGCAAGGAGGGCGACGATACATCATGACTGTGCGAGCATTACAGAGAACACTACCCATAGGCCCAAGAGAGGCTGGGGGAAATGAAGGATCTTTGCTCTGAAATTTACCTATTTGGAAAAGAGATGACGAGGCGGGTGTTACTGAGCATAGGAAAAGTAGAAAGTTGTAAAATAATGGAAATATAAACACAGGTACTATTTGACTCTACAGAAAGTGATATTTTAGGTACCTGCTTTAATAGTGTAAACAATGACTAAAAAATCCTGAGTATGGGAAGGTGAGGCAGATTTCAACAGAAAGTCAATAGATAATGCCTAAAGAGACAGGCACATTACTTAGAAAAACGGAAAAACATAAAAGTGCTGGGATGTAGGTTTGCTATTTACACTATAAGTCTTTCGAAACAACCTGTTTTTTTAAACTAATACCTTATTATTTGCATTTTAATTAATCATAATGGTTATTAATGATAAGAATAGTCACATGAAATAAAAGTAAAATTGCTAGATTTGGTAACAGAAGCCAGCTGGGGATGTGGTTCAGTGGTAAAACGTTTATCTCCCATGTGCAAGGCCCTGAATTGGGCCCCTGCAAAGCAAATAAAACAAAAACAGGTATAAGCCACTAGACGTACTTTTCTTGCTGATATTACTATTAAAACTAAAAATGCCAGAAAAGAAGCATTGCCACTCCACATATAAACAGAGAAAATATTTTATTCCCTCCTGTAACAGGAAAATTTCTATTCCAGAATCCAGTCCTTTATTTTTTTGGTACCGGGATTTGAACTTGGATCCTTGCATTTGGCAAGGCCCGTGGTGGTACCACTGAGCTAAATCCCTGGCAAGCCAGCTTTCTTTTTTTTTTTTTTTTT